CTCAGACTTATTGAATCAGAAACAATGGGAGAGGGACCCAGTAATCAGTGTTTTACCAAGGCCTCCAAGTATTTCTGATATACATTCAAGTTTAAGAATTTCTGTGGTTTGAATGTGTCCCTCAAAGTTCACATGTCAAAAACATAATCCCCAATGCAACAGTGTTGAGAGGGGGGACCTTTAAGATTAGGCCATGAAGGCTCTTAATGCCATTATAGTGGGAATGGGTTTGTTATCTCAGGAATGGTTTCCCAAGATGAGTTCAGCCCCCTTCCCTGTCTCTCTTGCCCACGCAATTCCTTCTGCCATGTTACGACACAGCAAGAAGGCCCTAACCAGGTGCCGGCACCTTGATCTTGGACTTTCCAGCCTCGAGAACTGTGAGGAAATAAATTTCTGTTCTTTATAAATTACCCAGTCTCTGGTATTCTGCTATACCAGCACAAACGGGACTCAGACAAGAACTAATCTAAGTTTAAACACTAATTTAAGTGTTTATTTCCAAAAGTTCCATTCACTGTCTAATCCAGTTCTCACTCTCCATTTTCTGGGTAGTTAGATCTTCTCCTACTACCTCTACATCTATTAATACTACTAATAATAATACCAACAGCTGCCACTTGCAAAGTATTTATAAACTAGACATTGTGCTAATCACTATGCACATACTACCTTTCTTAACCTCCACAACAATATTTAGATAAGAAGCCTAGGGTTAAAGATGTTAAATAACTTGCCCAAGGTCACTCAACCAATAAATGGCACAAAAGAGATTTGACCAGGGGTATTCCTAACACCAAAGTCCCTGAAGTTAGCCACTATACTAACAGACCTCCCAGAAGGTTGCTATCCCCATAGTCTCAGCTGTCATCTACATTACAATTGTTCCTAATCATCTCATAAACTCTGAAGTAGAATTTTCAATGACCTAGTGGATCTATTTAAACACCCACAGGGGCCTTAGAATTAACATGCCATTATTTCTTCTCTCCACTGAAAGCCTGTTTCTAATTTAATGTCCCTATAATCATCCAGTTGCTCAAACTAGACATGTCCCCTTTGACTTCTCACTCTCCCTCACCTTTAACTGGTCATAAAATTTAGAGATTTTAATATCTAAAAATGTCTCTACAACCTTTCCATTCCCACTGTCCTCCTTCAGGCTACCAACATTGCTCATCTACATTCTAAGTGGTCTTCCTGCCTCTTCACTCTAATGCAATCTGCACATGAACTGTCAATTAATTTTCTGATCTGATTATTCAACCTTCTGTGGCTCTCCATTGCTAATTCAAAGGGGAAGGGAAGAGTCTAGACTTTTTAAAATGGAGTAGAAGACCCTCTCATAATTTGGCTCCAAAAATACCTTTCTCCTGTTTCATCACTTCTGCCATGCAACAGGCCTACAAGAAACAATTCAAGATATTTCCAAAAACATCATTCAATTTTAATCTTCAGCAATTTTGCTTATGCTGGCCCACTCTTCCCCCTTTACATGTAGCAAAATTCTACTTAACCTTCAGGGATAACTTAAAGTTCCATTTCTTCTCTTCAAAGCTTTCCTTATCAATTTTTTCCCTAGCCAACACAATCTATTACCCACCACTTTATTCATTCCAAAAGTGATTAATTTATGACAACATTCAATGGTTAGTAGTTAGCTCCTCTAATGAGTACTTAGTATGTCAGGGAGTATACTGTGTCTTATTCATCTTTGTCTTCCTAGCACCCAATAGAGTAGGTTATAGCCAGCACCCAATAAATATTTGCTGAGTTGTTAAATAATGGAACATTTGCTGTTGTAACTTTACATGTCTTGGTTGGCAATTCCACTTCAGGTTTACATGCCACTCAAAAGAATTTTCACATAACAAACGATGTTATAAATAAAGACCAAAAGCTCAATATTCAGCAGCAGTGTCTTTAATTATTATCAAATCTTTTTGTCAATATTTGTGAGTATTTTTCATCAGAAAGGCTCCTTTCCCAACTAACATTATTTATATTATTTACAGAATCAGCAGTAACAATAAACCCACAGAGATAATCAAAAGCAAAACTGTGTCACCGAATGTGGCTGGATGACTACTCTTGGTACGTCATTCAGTACCAACAGAATGGCCCAAGTACATCAGGTAGATTTTAGAAATTGAGACATGGCTATTGACTACCTAAAATGCATGCACATTAGTGAGGCATTTATTCCAATTAGCAATTGAAATAAAAAATATATAACAACCTCATCCTGGTTCAGCCATAAGATCCTAATTTCAAGTAAGGATAACACTTACTCTTGCCTAAGACTCTAACACAAGCCCCATTCTATCTTACCAGCAGGCTCTATCTTGTTATCAGTGGGATGCTGATAAGCCTGTCTTAGTCTTTAACACTTTGCCTTCCCAACCTGCTAAACCTTATCTCTCCAATATTCCGCTATCAGAGATCTTCCCTTCCAGTCACCAGACATGCAAGTCTGCTCAATATATTTTCCAACATCCAAATTAACATTATTTTCTCAGCAAATGATTTCTTATCTCTTCTCTAATTCAAATTTTACACTTATTTCAAAGACCAGCTCAGATCTTACCTGAGCTTTCAATTGATAAGGAAATCTTCCAATGAGTTCCCTAACTCAGCCCACATGTCCTATTTTTTCTAAATTTCTACCTCACTTTCAGTCCTCACATAGCACTTGTTTACATACTAATTTGGTTTTAGAATTATTTTACATACATATGTTTTCTTTTCCTATCTAGACTGTTGCTGTTAAAGGAAAAAAGCCAGGGTTTCTATGTCACATGTAACCCCACAATCCTTCCCCCAAATATAATACTGGGCAGAGGGGGGCACATGTATTAAGTACTTGAAGGACTGAATTAAATGCTTTCTATGTAGATATGTATCTATATAGAAGGATGTATCTATATACACCACTGATAAAGGTGTATCTATATACACCACTGATGCACAGCATGATATATAATAAATATCTATTGCATGCCTACTCTGTGGCAAACACTGTAAGAGTACTCTAAGAGCTGAGGATATGGCAAGGAGAAATCAAAGGTGATTCCTGTCCTAAAAGCTGGGTTGTTGTTTTTTTTTTCTCATTTTATTGTCTTTTATTTCATCATATTATGGGGGTACAAATGTTGTTAAGGTTACATATATTGCCCTTGCCTCCCCTCCCCACCTTGAGTCAGAGCTTCGAGTTCATACCCCAGGTGGTGCCCATCATACTCATTATGTAAGTATATACCCATCCCCTCCTCCCCCCTCCCACCTGCTCGACACGTGATAAATGTTTTTTGGTTTTGGTTTTGGGTTGGTTTTTTTTTGACATTTTGGTTACATTTATATCTTTGCCTCTCCCTAGCAAGGGTTAGAGGTATGCCCTTCCCCTCCATAATGCTCACCACATCCCTAAGATGTGGGTCTACCCCCCTACCCCCGAATCCCTGGTGAACACTACCATCATTTGAGCACCATAATTTTAATCAGTCAGTACCAATTTGATGGCGAGTATATGTGGGGCCCATTTTCCTGATCTTGTGTTGCCTCAAATCCAGGATAGTTAAGCTTTTATAGTCCAAAGAGGAAGAGATCTTGAATTCCAAGTATTCTAAGTGTTACAGAGCAAAATTATTACTGGTTCCAAGATATTAGAACTTCAGGGAACATACTTTACAGATCCTTAGTTATGAAACTAAATCACAGAATTTTAGAGCTGCATGAAAATTCTAAAGTTATTTTTTTTCTCAACTTTCTTACACAAATCATTATTAAATTTTAGTACAGTCTATCTTTTTATTAGAACTTCAGGGAACATACTTTACAGATCCTTAGTTATGAAACTAAATCACAGAATTTTAGAGCTGCATGAAAATTCTAAAGTTATTTTTTTCTCAACTTTCTTACACAAATCATTATTAAATTTTAGTACAGTCTGTCTTTTCCTGGTTCTATGTATTGCCTCAAACAACAGAAAGTCAGAAAAGACTAACTTCTTCCCTATTTCCAATACTCCTCCCTCCCAAGGATGGAAACTACAACCACTACACATCTACCCATGAGGAAGCCTGGCGCACTAAAAGAACATTGGGCTGATGATCTGCTGCACCTTTACACTCTGGCTACTCCGATCATCAACATTTTCCAGCCCACGCATCGAACAGAATCCGTATTTTCTACCCAGAAAACAGCAAGGCTACACTGTTTTTTAAGAAAAACAAAACACAGTGCTTCCTTATTTCCTTGCCCCTAGTAAAGCACAACACAGTTCTGGGAAACATTAACAGCCTATTGAGACTATGAGGAGGTAATAACTGAGGATAGATATCAACCCCTTGGTCTCAAAATCTGCAGCAACAATGTGATAAAATGAGAAAGAAGCACATGCACCTACATGTGAAGTTGGAAACTCTAGGCAACAGGTTGGCTGCCCCGTTTCTATACTGACAGGTCGCCTTCCCTAGATCGTGGGTGTGTCTGACACCGCACACAGGCACTGACTCACAACTCTCTCCATAACAACCAGCTCCCACTCAGAGCCTGGCCAGGGCAGGGAAGATGAGGGCCCCAGCAGCCCCAAACTTCCCGAACCCCAAGCCCGGGGTCCTCGGTTCCACCGCCTCTCGGTCTGGGGCAACGTCGTCTCAGACAGGATGCGAGGCTGCTCGGAGAACCGAAGCTGCCCCTGGTTCGAACTCCTCTGTTTGGGAGGCTGGCAGAGCACCCCGAATCCCTCAGGCACCTACTTCCTACACCTTCCAGGGTTATCAGTTTTCCCAGGCCCGTAGCTACGGCTTCCCCGAGCGCCCGGGCCCAGAAACTGACCCTGCTCAGCCCCCGTCCCCGCGCCTTCCCCGCCCCCGGAAAAAGCGGCAGAGGGGCGTGGAGCGGCGCGCGCGGGTGCGGTGGGGGCGCGCGTCTCCGCGCCCCGGGCCCGCGCAGCAGGTGCGGCCAGGCCCCACCTCCCCCGCGAGGCCCGGGCCACTCACCCCAACGATGTTCCTCTGCGACCTGGCCGGCGGCACAGACGCCTCTTCCGCCTGCTCCGCACCCGGCTCGAAGCCACCGCCCCCTCGGCCGCTGCCGTCGCCGCCGTCCTCGCCGCCGCCACCGCGGCGCGCGTCCGCTTTCACGCACACCGCCGTGGCCGCGCACGCGCGTTTGCGCGCTGGCGTCACTTAGCAACCGGCCGATAGCTGACCGGTGGGGTCTTGGGGTTTGGGGCTTCGAGGTTGCCTCAGGCGGGTTCTTTGGCTTTTCCCCACCCGCCCGACCCGCTGCCCCTCCAGAGCAGGGGGCCCCAGGGTGTGACTGCCCTGCGGCACCTGGCTCAGGGTAAGTTACGTCACCATAACGTCACTGTATGGCGTCACCGGCGCGCGTCACTTCGGCTAGGGACGGTCCTGGGCGCCTGTAGTGGAGGGAGCGGTGGCCTAGTCCAGACTGGCGCAGACCTGGTCGGCAAGTTCTGCGAGGTGCAGGAAGGTTCTCCGAGGAGCGGGGACTAGAAGGCACTAGGTGCGCGGTTAATGTGGAGGCTGCTGAGTGACTCTCAGCTGTAGCAGTAGGATGTGGTGAACCGAGCCTTGAATTCCCTTCTCAGTTTCCTCACTGTATAAAGCGGCGGGTAATACCCATGCTGGCTTCGTTGGAGAGCTGCGAGGCTAAAATGAAATAATGTGTGCAAAGGTACTTTGTAAAGTATAAAGCCCATTCCAAAGGTACTTTGTAAAGTATAAAGCCACTTTAAATAGCTTTCTCATAAGACAAGGCAGTTGAGCAAGAGCAGTTAAGAGCGTGGACTTTGAAGTCCTAGAAATCTGGGCGCAGGTCTGACCCTGGCTGATGTTGGAGAGTCAGGGACCCTTGGCAGTGGGGCAGGCTGGAGGGTCTGGATGCCGGGATTGGGGGAGACTAGTTGAGAAGGACTTAATTCCAGGCAAAGGATGCTTCGTTAGTAAAAGTAGGAAGTGAAAATGGACAGGAAGAGCAAATCTTTGGGCAGAGAGACCCAGTTTGAGGCCATATTTGAACTCATCATCAGACCCCACAATCTGGTCACCCTCCTAAGGAATGTCACCAGCACTATTCAGTAACTTAAGACACTTGTGGATACGCCAGACTCTCTTTTCCCACAAAAGGGAACTGTTATAGTGTTCTCCTCTGCTTTTCCCAGAGCAAAGTCTGTGGGTGGGGGTGAGGGTGCCTAGTCCAGGGCTACAAAGCAAGTAAACCTATTTAATTTCAGAGTTTGGCATTAGGAAGCTCTTTGTTCACAGGTAATGTCCGGTATCAAGTTTGTCAGTTGTGTTATACAGAATAATGCCCCTTCCCCAAGATGTCCACATCCTAGTCTCTAGAACCTATGAATATGTTATATTACATGACAAAAGGTATTTGTAGATTGTATGATTAAGTTATGGGTCTGGAGAGATTATACTGGATTGTTTGGCTGGGCTGGAGGCAGGAGGGTCAAAGTCAGAGGAGATGTGATGATGGAAGCAGAGGTCAAAGGGAGAGATGTGAAGATGCTATACTGTTGGCCTTGAAGATGGACCCAAGGAATGCAGGCAGCCTGCAGAAGCTGGAAAAAGCAAGGAAATGGATTCTTGCCTAATGCCCTTAGAAGAAACACAGCCCTGACAACACCTTAATTTTAGGACTCTTGGCCTCTAGAACTATAAGATAATAAATTTGTATGGTTTTAAGCCGTTAAGTTTGTGGTAGTTTGTTACACCAGCTATAGGGAACTAATACTGTCAGTAATGAAGATAATAGTTGGTTTCCTGCTGTTCCCTCCTTTACCTGGAAAAGAAAGGTCCAGCTTTTTGGGTCCCCTGAGAGACTATAGCAATGTGACTGTGAGCTGATGAAGGGAACCTCCACATCCAGAGGGAAATGTCCAATAAACTGTATACAGGTTTATGAATGAGGAAAGAAGTTGAGCTAAAATAGATTTGGAGGACATTAACCTATAATTGGTAATGTAAGCCCTAGGCATGGATGGAATCAATCAGGGAGAAAATATAGAAGAAATAAGAGGGGACTAAGAATAGGACTCCCAAGGAGCACTAACTTTAAAAGGAGGTGGCAGATGGTCAAAAGCCCACAAAGAAGTCTGAGAAGAATGGCCAGAGAGAGAAAAGGAGAATCAGGTAAGTATAGTTGGCAAGCTCTGAAGCCAAGGTAGGAAAGAAAGGCAAGATAGAGGGGTCAGCAGAGTCAGAGACCACAAAAAGGAGAATTGTGCTAAGCCAGCGATGTCACTTAACATTCCTTCCAGGTAGTTTTCTTGTGATCTGAATGAATATTTATGTACAACTGTTTCTAAATTAAAATTGTTTAATTGGAAAAACGGACACAAGTAAAAGTTGAATGCAAGAGTAATTCATTTATTTTTCTACCAGATCCAAGAGGAAATATTTATTGTCATTAAAGTCATGCTCTGGTATATTTGTTCATCTAATCCTCATATATTAGTGCATTTAATTTTGCAAATATTAGCTTATTGACCACTGATGACTATCTCAGTTTTAGCAAATGGGGTGCAAAGTTTAAATAATTTGGCCAAGGTCAAAGAGCAATTAAGTAGTAAACCAAGATTTAGACCAGCACAGGCATATCTTTCCAGGAAACCTTCCCTCAGGGCTTAGTTGGTCAAGTGCCCTTCTTCTGTATTATTAGCATAATGTGTAAGCATTTATTTTAGCATTTACTTTAATAATAATGATGCTTACTATGTGTCAGGTACATAGTACCTGTACCCATGTTTAAGTGTGTTATAGGTGGCACCTTATTTAAGCTTCATGAGAGCCCTTTGAAGTAGGTGGTATTATTAATCACAATATTTTATAAATTAGGAAACTAAGGCACAGAAAGGTTAAGTAATTATCAAAGTAAATTAATAAATGATAGAGAAGCTTGTAGCTTTGAGTCAATTTATGTGACTAAAGCATTTGTACTCCCATAATATTCTGATATAATAAAATAGAATAAAATAAAATAATAAAATAAACGATAGAGCCAGGATTCAAATCCCGGTAGCTGGGTGGTGAAATTCTTGCTCTTAAACCCCATTACTACCTCATACCCTGTACCCTCTGCTTACACTGAGGAATTCTAGAAGACATAGCTTACAGGTTGTTTTGTGTGATATCACTCTGTGTTCCTTATATGAACACAAGAGAATTTTCTCTCTGAGCCAAAAGTCATAAAACATTTGGCTACCCTTGAGTAACTGATGTGTTGTTTTCTCTTTATAGACAATGTGAATTACATAACTGGCCTGTTTTTCCCTTTTCACTTTGACTGCCAAGAAGCTCTGAGGAAATTTGTTGGCTCATCATTTGTAAGTGGGTGAATTGGCCTGCTTATCTGTATTCTGTTGGTTTGAAATTTTCCAAATAAATAGTTGGGGGTAGGGTAATAATGTAATTGTAAAATATTTTCTAAATTGTTGACAATGTACATTTTGTAATTAGGAAAATAAACTTTGTTTTTAAAAGAATGTAGCTTCAAATGATTTCTCATGTTCTGATTCTATGAATAAGAACTACTTTCAGATTAAGTTGCATGAGTTAAATATAGAATCTCAGTTCTTATAAAACCAGGATTTCTGTATGACCTCGAAAGTCCAGATCAATAGAATTGTTCAGATAGATCAGAAAGTATTTCAAGTGGCATAAAATAGCCAAGTTGTGGCCCTTTTGGATTATTGTCTTGCTTTGGAGATAAGAAAGTCCATTTTCTTATATGCTGATGATATTTTATTATGATGACTTTTTTTTTTTTTTCTATTTTTAGTAGAGATGGGATCTTGCTCTTGCTCAGGCTGGTTTTCCACTCCTTAGCAATTCTCCCACCTCGGCCTCCCAGGGTGCTAGGATTACAAGTGTGAGCCACCACACCTGGCTATAATGAACTTTAAGGTATAATTGATCTCGTTGGTGACCAATTGTCAGAAAGAATGGATCAGAATCACCTGTTCCAAAACTAAAGTAATTTTTCAGTACATGTCCTCAAATTTAATTGGCTTAGATCCAGTGACTAAATGCTAGATTAATTACATTTCATAGGAGCATTGTTCAGATTTTTCTACAGTGAGAGTGAGCAACTGATACTTTCTTCTTTGAAAATTGTCCAAATCTTTATCATTCTCCAACAGGGCATTGCAATGCCTAAAGAGCCCAGGCAGGTGGGTAAATGCTCTGTACTCAGCCCAGCAGATTGCTTCAGTATGGTATGAGCATCTTTGGTTGCCAGATTTGAAACCTATTGATCTCTCAATATTGGTAACTCAAGTGAACTTTAAAAAAATAAAAAGAAAAGAAAAAACATGTCAGTTTGCAGATCTTCTGCTCTATTGGATGGTCCTGAACACTTACTTTTTCATATATTTCAAGAGTTTTTTTTGTTGCTGTTCTGTTTTTGTTATTTCCTACTGCCTGTGTGATTGCAGAATGAACAGTTGTTGTTTTTTTGTTTGTTTGTTTGCTTTTTAAGGAAAATTCTGCATTGCCTGCAGAGGCTCCCTTTATCACACTGCCATATAGAGAGGAATGTTCCTATTTAGGAGGGAATTTTAATGATGTGACTCACTCTTCACAAAAGGCTGTCAACCCTCTACCATCTGCTGATCGGGTTACTGAATTCTAAATAATATGTATCTGCCTTAGTCAGTACACTACTAGCTGATCCATTAGAAAATTGCATACCAAACCGTATTGTCCTGAGCTTACATACACAGGAACCTCAGCCAGGTGTGTGTTATACTGACTTGTATTTTAAGTGTTGTGTCTTCTGTGTATGTTAAGCTGTTCTAGAAGAGAGCTCCACATAGCCTGCTAGTACATTTTAAAGGTGCTGAGGGAAAGCTTCTCCTCCACCCTCAGGTTTGCTGAAAATGAATTGACAATAGGCAAATTAATAGGAGAAAAATGTATACAAATGTATTAATGTGCATAAGCACAGGGAACTCACTGGAAGATGATTATCCAATAACCCAGTGAGGTCCAGATGCCTATATATCTTTCATAGAGGAAGAGGAGATGGGGAAAATGTGGTAATTTTGAGAGGTAGCAAATGATTTTTAGGGGGAATGAATGGGCCCAATATTCAGGCAATAGTTTGCAAATGATTCTCTTTGGGAATGTAATAGGATTAGGGAACAGACAATAGTTTAGGACAAAGTTTGGGATCTAAGCATGGTGTTTAATTTTCAGTCTCTGTGATAATGAAGTTTAATCTTCTCTAATTGATTAAATTTCAGGGAGGGGATTAAAAGCAATTATGTTCCTCTTTGGTGGGTC